TTCCACCTACAACAGTGACTGCACCCACGTGCAAAGTATTTCAGTCGTTTTTTTTTTTTTAAAAGTAGGTCTCGGATTTCTATACATTTTTAAAATCTACTACAGAATTTTAAATAATTTGTTTTGCTTGTTAAAAAAACTAATTAAACATTTTATTTGGCTCATTGCTTTTGTGTAATAATTGTTTGTTAAGGTATTATAAATGGCCACAGCTGCTTTTACCGATTGGCATTTTAACATTGTAAAATAAATGTGTTATATATAAAATACAGTGTTAGGTAAAAATATAACATTTTTTTTGTACCACGAATACAATTAAACAAACATATTTGCCGTTTTTAAATAGTACTCTTCAAAATATTTAATATTCATTGTGTATTAATTTGCCATAGCAAATGAAATATTTCCAAATCGTTTAATTAATTAATTCCATTTATCCTTCACGAAAATCGCCAAAAAAATTACGTCACTTCAAATTATGTATTACCGAACTGCGCTCGGAAATGTCTTTCGTTAAACAATGGTTTATCGTTGCTTACAGATCCTTAACAAACGTCAAAATACCAGAAAAGTTGTGCAGGTAATCCTTCTGTAAAAATCATCTAAAACGTACAATTAGAAATAAAGTTACTAAAAGAAACGTCCAAACTTTTAAACGAGAAATTATAGTGAAATCTGGAATCGCGGCGGCCATTTCTCGCGTTGTTGCACTGACCGGTTTCCCACAGAACTTCGTGTACGCCTTGGTACACTAGGTGGGAGATCACTCACCACTACAACGACTCCTTATATTATTACTATTTAACTTATTTGGCTCATTTTTTTATCACCAGCCGCACAGTTCAGTCGTTACGTCCTTGATAAACAGAGCTTGTTAACCACGTGCTGGGTGCAATATTGTAGTTGATTAATATAAGTATATAAGTATATAAGTAGTAATTATAATTGATAACTATATATTATTTTTACATCCATGTGATGAAATTTACTGAAGCCGATTCAAAATAATGCGGTTAAAACAATTACAAAATATTTAGGTATCATCAAGACTGGAATTTACATATTCAGAATTCTGTAATTTACTTGAGATTAGTAATCATCAAATTTTATAAAACTAAACACAACTGAAGTTATGCGTACTGTAGACGAATCTTTGTACAAGTCTATCATTCAAACTGTACAGTCTAATTTCTCCATGGAAAATGGATGTTAGAATATTTTTAGTATAAAAGAAATACAGGAATCACCTTTAATTACAAATCCCTAAAATTACAGTCAGTTAGAGATCTAGACATCTGTATGAAGTATGCAAATAAATAAATTGGTTTGAGGTTTGTTGATTAACTATGTTCAGTTAATTACAATTTCACTACCTCTGTATATAATGAAAAGTATTATCAAGCTAATGTAAAAAAATTATCGAATCTTGGTTACTAAAAAAATAGCTTTAAATAATAATAATGTATATTTATAAATCGTTGTATTGTTTAAAAGATGTATTTTCATATGTGCAGGTGAAGCTAACAAAATATATTGTCTTTATAACTCATTTGACCTACTACAAGAAAAAATAAAAGGAAAATAATTCGATTAAAAAGACTCACATATACACATTCCGACATGGCGTAGAACGCCATTACCAATTTACTTCCATCTACCTATTGGACATGTTTTAGACCCAAACTACGACATACCGTTATTAAGGTTCAAACATTTTAGAAAGTGACCACGGCAACATAAAAGTTCATGGTATGGAGCTACACTGGCAAAACCGAGATAACACCTTTATCCACAAAATTAACCCGCTTTTTGGGATAAATTAATCAAATAATATTTTATATATTATATAAAATATAGATACGTAATAATAAAAATATATTATTGTCCAATTTGTATTTATGATTGACAAATGATAAAGTATAAAAATCGTATACAGATGTCGGAATGATTACAATTCTTTTACAATTTTACAAAAATTTGTTTGACTTTGCGTTACTTGCAAACAACAAAATACGTATTATATCGAAGATCTTTTTAATTTTATAAAACTCTGTAAGAAATGACCCATCTTAATGGAGGTTTTAAATATACTTTTATACTGTTTTTCACATAGATAGTATTAGTATTCATATTACTATTCATCATTAACACAAAAGTGAGAGCATAAAAATCATAAAACATATCAGTCGAAATTATTTTTCTTATATTATGTTTAAGATTTTGAGTGAAGCGAAGATTATTCGGTTTTGGGAAATATTTTAAGAAGGTAATCTTTTGATTTTCTCAGGAGTTTTCTCAATAAATGTGAAAAACCAAAAAACAAGAAGGTAAAGCGGGAAAACAAATATTATTAAAGAAAATGTATAATGCCTATTTAATTATTTTACCATAATAGGACATATATATTGTTGATAAAGTATCACTATCAACAGATCTCCCTTCAGAATTGTTTTTTTGTTAGTAATGGTTTATCGTTGCTTACAGGTGTACATTAAATTACTTATAATAGTAGCACTCAACTCAATCTAGGACGCATTTTGTTTAAACTTTACGTTGCTAAAAAAAAATCTTGTTTTTTTTTAATGATCCTTTCTATTTTCAAATCTTCGTAAGAAACACGATTATTATTATTTATTTATTTATTTATTTATTTATTGTATTATTAATGATCTTCCCCTTGTATTGTAGTTATTAACTATTATAATCTATAAAATTCCTACTTCACCATAATAATAATATAATAATAAAAGTAATAATAATTATCAAATGTAAAGAGGTATAAAATTAACTTTTAATTTTATTTTTTATACAGATTCGATGTCTTATTTGCAATGCTTTTTTTTCAAATGCCGGAGACTTTATTACTTAAACGAATAGAAGGTCTTTATAAATATGTTTAACAAGATATCTTACATACTAGATGTTGATATATAATTTACATGTGGATGAAGTAACACTTCTAATGATGTGGCGCTTAATTTAAAGTCTCAAATTAAGTCGTATGGTTTCAGACGCTTAAGGCCTCTAATGTCTTGGATTTGTCCAACAATTGGATGGCCATGTCGTTTTTTGGTTTGTTATAGTTTTATTTTGTTTCATTATTACATTAAAAGTTAATGAGAGAAGCACGGTAATGTGATCGGACGTTAGCTCAATTAGACGTTCAACTTCTACACAATTTGATGAAATTCCATTCATTACATAGAAGTCAATAAGATAAGATAGTGAGTTGGCCAGTAGGTTGGTTTTCTAGTCGAGATGAATTGTGCTGTGGTGGTGATCAATCTCGATCCCCAGAAAGTATATTTGGCATTATAATCACCTCCAGCAATAGATCTACTACCCAGAATCCGGAAGAATACAGTAAACTTGTTATTGTCGTCTACTTACGGATGTACACGAGCAACCTCCGGGGCCATGGTCAAAGGACCGCCATGGGTACACTGACTGGACCGCGGAGGGGCACTGCTCGTTCGTTGACGAGCCGCGGACAATTACGTAAATACAAAACGTAGGTACGATAATATCCGTTATAGGACGATTTGATATTTTGATAATTGTACCATTGAAAAACGCGCGCGCAGTCGCCGTTGCCGTCGCTAAGGTACGAGAAAACAGCGCTTGCTCACCCCGCAACAGGAACGCAAATACCGACAGAATATTATAGTCTCTCGCATCGGACGTCACACGACGCGTCAAACGTGCGAAGATGAAAATCGCAATGACGTAAAAATACCAAACTATGAACGTGAAAAATGAAACTATAGGACGAGGTGTGAGAGTGTGGAAGTCGACGGTCTGACGGTCACCGATAGAAGGTGACGAGCGCCGGGCGATAATCGAAATGTCGTCGCCCACTCGCGTTGCCTAGAAATAATACGGTCCACGGAGTAGTCGCGTCGCGTCGCGGGGCGAGGAACGACCGGGTAAACTAGTTTCACCGATACCAGCTTTTGCGATATCGTCAATATAATAAATTATTGTATTGTTATATGCATCGTAGACCGGAATATTATACATTACATCCGACGATCGAACGCTGTCGCTTAACTATTATTATTCGCGTCATTTGGTCCGCCGACTGACTACGGCACATGTATGGCATACACGACACGGGGATACGGGACAATTATTGCGAGCACTTATTTATACTTGCCTATACTAAATACTGGGCGTTGTAGGTATTGACTTACCTGCTTAATTATAATTTTTACTTGAGATGACCAACTTTTTAAAAATTATTTACCGACCACCAATGTATGCAGATATTTTACGTAATTATGTGCTACCATCGGTTTGTGAAACTGGCGAATGACCCGGGCCCTCCTAACGCCAGAATGTATTCGACAACTCCGTTTTGCCGGGTAATAGTATTTTATTCAATTGGTAAGTATTATTGTAAATATTTCAAACGGAAAAGCTGAGAACCGACTGATGATTGAGTAGGTAGGTACGTTTTATTTGACGTCCACCGATGTTACATCTGATAATAAGACCAGGCAAGGAGAATTTTCAGTTAGGTAACTAAAATAATAAGAATTCGAGAATTTCCTGCGAGTACCTACATAAATACCGTGTGCGATTAAAAGAGGAGGGGGTTTATCACCATTTTTTGTAATTAAAATGGACCATTATACCTGATATTAATTCGTTTAATAATAGCCCATCATTATACACTACTACAGATATAACAATAATTGTTCGCGTCTATTAGCACGTTTACCACGCTAAACTTTTCGTTTGTCTATATTCTTCAATTGTTTTGGCGTGCATCGATATGTGTGTTATTATTATTCTGATTTACGTAAGTACAAATACCGCTATGAATCGTATACAATGTTTTTATTGCATTCGTTATTATTTTATTTGCGCACAGAACAACTTTTATTATTCAAATTACATAAATGGATTCTTTTCTATGTACACCGAGTAGGTCCCATAATCGTTCAAAGTCACCGGTTACTAAAAAAACACGTTTATCCGACCATGATATTTCTGAAATGTTTGAAGAACCATTACCATCATCTGATGAAGAGTCTTCTCTTCATGAATCAGATACAGGTAAAGATGATTCGGCGGACGATGATGCGGATTATTATGTAAATGAAGAGGTTTTGCAAAATGTGTCCGAAATTGAAAATGCATCGTAAGGGAAAATCGTATGGTCCTACAAAATATGGTGTGTGTATAGTCAAATGGAAAGACAAAAGAGAAGTCCTTGCTATAAGTTCAGAGTTCAAAAATGGTAGAAGTGCATAATACATATGGTCAATCTGAATTGAAACCCTTGCCGATATCGGAATACAATAATTTCTACGTGTAGCACCTTTTCTGATAGAAAATTTGGCGTGGGGAGGTCCATTAGGTTGCTCATTTTTCGATTTTGTTAAGAGTTTTTCCAGAAAATGTGTAAAACCGGGATAAACGTATAGGAAAATTGAGAAAATCGGTACAACATTAAATTAATATTAATACAGGAAAAATATAAAGCCTATTTAATTATTTTACTATAAAATGACATATATATATATTGTTAATAAAGCATTTACTCTCAACTGAACTCCGATCAGAATCGTTTTGTTGTTACATATATCAGTAAAACTATGCAATATGAAATGATACGTCCATAAATTAACAATGGATAATGTTATAAACAAATTAAAGCTCTCTCTATACTATAGTAACATATATATATATATATAACATATATTTAACGAAATAACAGGCAATGAAAATTATTTAAAAAAAATAAAAAGTTAAATTTCACCTGGTAAATAATCACCGGAACTATTTCTAAATAAATTTAATAAATTATTTTCAACTTTATTGAAAATTTTGGAAGTTAAATTAGTTACTCGTGGTTGAAAAGAATGCTAGTTTTTAAGTTGTAATCTTTATGTATTTTATGCTACTAAAATATTGATTTTATCATTTTTATCATCAATAAAAATTGTATTTCAGGGTTCAACCATATCTGCTCCTTTCTTGGCTTTGATTGCAACTTCAGATTGAGATTTGACATGTATATTGATGTATTTTCGAACGTCTTTCATGTTTTAGAAAATAACTATAATATACGTTTTGATATTGATACAGACTTGGAATTATTAATTACCCGAAATTTTACTGAACCTTTTTGGAAGAAAGAGTTTGAACATAAGACTGTAAAAAATTTATTCCTTGACCAAACTTTTTGAAATTCATACACAGTGTTATAAAGGTTTAGACAAAGCTATCGATATATAAATTCTCGGTAATATCATAAATATTTCGCACCTACTGTAATTTTTTTATCGTTAACGTTTGTTTTAAAATAAGTATTATTTTTTAAGGATACTTATTGTTTATTACATTGATATCTATACAATATCTATTCTGTATTAATTTATTGTTTCATTATCTAAAAAATAATAATAATAATAATAATAATATAGAAAACATTTTCTTTGTGTATCTCATCTCAGCTACCTATGCATCGCTTAGCTAGTGAAAATATTACGAAAGTATTTTCAAAACGTAATACGGAATTCTTTGAAATATGGAGAGTAAAATACAACAAGTCATGATCGCAAATAAACTTTTAAGCTAGCCATCGAGGAGGCACTAGGGCTCTGTTGCACGAGTAAAAGTTAAATATAAAACATTTTTAATTAAAAACCAAAACCGAGTTTGTAAATAATTACTCTCATTTACTCGTCACTAAGCTGAAACTATATGAGTTTAATTATGGCGGATTATTTTTAAAAGTTTTCATTAGATGGAGAGAAAAAACCGACTACGGAATGTTTTTGTAGCCATTTTTCGCCTCGAGAAGCAACATGATTATTATTATTTTTTTTTTTTTACTATAAAACGTAGTGGGCTATTATTATTATTTTTTTTATTAATTTTCAAAATAATAATTTGCTTTCTTATCAGATTGAGTTTTAAAAGTCATTTATATACGCGAGTAATTTATTTCTTTTTAAGTTGGTGACGCCACGATGTGTTTCATGTCAGGAAATAGAAGAAAAAGTCAAATTAAATATTTTATTATCAGAGTTATAAAGTCGAATTTCAATTGAATCTAAAACTGATGTTAATATTTCAATTCAACGTGAAAGTTCAACAAAGCCGTATTGTAAAAATTCAAACGATAATTCGGGTCTTGATTTATTTGACAAAGTTCGTCTTTTCGTCAATGAACAAACTTTATACACGTGAATATTCGCCCTCGCAATAATACGAGGTTACCAAACGGGCTTGACGCGACACTATACTATACTTATTCATCAAACTAAATAATTAATAATTATTATTATACATAGTTTTAATTTCATGAACAATATCGAGAATTGAACTTGTCTTGTGTTCTTGCAATGAGCTCTTCAATTTTGGTACTATATTATAAAAATATTTGTGCGAATTTAATTATTGCAGTTGAAATTAATATTAAAACACTAAAGACAATGTGGATACACATACAACAGAACATTTACCAACCAAAGTAAAAGCACTATTCAATATAGTATATCAACCATTTTTGTTTCCTTTTGAATGTCTATTATATTTTTTTCTTGCTGTCCGTTATTTACAGTTTAAATTTTGGAAAACTAATGTAAGGTAATATTTAGGTATATTTTCAGTCCAAACATCTACAATATGTTAAGAAACATTTGAATTCAAAAAAAGAAATACAACGCTTGACTATAGTGTAAAGTACTCTAATAAATCGTAAACATTTATTAGATGACCAGTTACTACAGATACAATCATATTCTGACTCAAAAGATACCAATTAATCTACCATGAAATTAAATCTGTAGTAGAAAAACCAAAACATTAAATTAAAATATTTTCTCTCTTCTATTTTTGGTTCTTTTTACTATTACTATATTTTTTTACTAACGAAATTTATCAAAAAATGTTCGTCTTTGCAATACCAGGAAAAATGAAATGTTCAAGGTCTGTCTAGGAAACGCTATCATCAAAACTAAGTTTTCAAACTCTTCATCCTCAAAATCTGAGTCACCTTCATATTTGGCACAATAGTTACACAAATTGTACAATTTTAGTTTTTTTTTATGCCTAAAATAAAAATAGCACATTTATTATTAAGTTTAAGAAAACATTTTTTTTGTAAACATTTAATAATTTATATATTTGTTCTATATTAAGTTAATTATTACTTTTTAAATTAGACAAAATAAAATGATGATAAATTTAGTTAGATTTATTCACTTAGTTTTATTAGATATTTTTTTATTTTGTCCGTTAACAACCTAACACGTGACAATTTATTAAGAGATACATAATTTCTATTGATTTTGAAAATTCCAGCTTTCCTATGAGTTAAGTCTCTTAAGACTTTTGGTTATTTCAGAGGCGGTATGGGCCAGCAGCAAAAGCCTACTGTTCTAGAATTGTAGAAGGAATCCCGTTTTGATAAATGCTGAAGAAAAATTACTTTTTTTTTAACATTATTTTTTTAATAAATTATTAAATGCAAATTCATTACACTTATTTATCTTATTGGTACAACTGTACCAATAGAACATTTTTTTCAAAATTTAAATTAAACAAAGTATCTTTTTTTAATGTTTATTATAATAAATTAAATAAATAATCCTAATTTATAATTTGAACATTTTGAACAAGTATTCATAGTTCGCATAAAATTCTACAAAATAGATTGTTGCTTTAAATTCTAATATTTTACTACTTTATACCTTCATATTTGAAGTTTGTGAAATTGAATAGAAAATATTAAACGACAAAATTACAATACATTGTATAAAACAATTGATTAGTGAATTTATATTAACTATATAATTAAAATATTAAAAAATTATCTTACTTGTATTGTGATTTTTCATCATCACAAGAATCTAAATTTAATACTTCTTCTTTTAAATTCTGAGTGAACGAAGAATGTATTGGGTTTACAAAGTTGTTTATTTAAAAAAAATTATAGTAAGATTCAATTTGAGAAGTTAATAAATAATTTTAACAATTATTAAAAAAAAAACCACTATTAAATTTTACCCCTCCATTTCCCCGTAAAATTTCACGGAGGGTAATAATTCCGGTTACACCGGGCTGATGTAGACGTTACTGTGCAGAACACATAATAAATTAATTTAATTCGATGGATATCTCTGAAAGTGGTATAAAAATGGAACAAACCACGAAAGCAGTAAAGATTAAACTGAACATGTAGAATCAAAAAAGATGGAAAGTGATGATAATATTTTGATTCCGGAATCTAAAATTAAAAATGTTTAACTGATTTTATTTACGTAGAAAAAAATCCTGAATTAATTTTGATGTGTTGAATTTGGGAAAAATTATTTTAAAAATCCAGTATTTGACCATGTATTAGAAAATTATACTTTTATACATCGAGTACTAAAATAAACTTAAGTACATTTAACTACCGCACAATTAACTATTTCTATGATTTGATATGTATATTGATGTATTTTCGAACGTCTTTCATGTTTTAGAAAATAACTATAATATAAGTTTTGATATTGATACAGACTTGGAAATATTAATTACCCGAAATTTTACCAAACATTTTCGGAAGAAAGAGTTTTGAACATAAGACTGTAAAAAATGTATTCCTTGACCAAACTTTTTGAAATTCATACACAGTGTTGTAGAGGTTTTAACGAAATATGTATTTAGTGTTTAACTACATGTAAAAAAAAAAAAACATATTCGCATGTGTTACAACATAATCAATTTTTCATTTGAGGACTATCCAATTCGAAACATTTTCTTTGGTTTAAATATTATAGTATATACTTTGACGAAAAAAATGATACTAATAAAATTCGTAAATTAATAAAAAAAGGAATACAAATTAACAATAATATTATTTTTTTTAAATAATGTACAAAACTCATATACCTGATTTAGATGTATATGTATATAAAGTATAAATTTAAAAAAAAAAAAAACATTTCATACCGGTTTTATAATAATTTGGAAGATAAGATTGATAATAGCCTTACAAACTTGTCAATAACATTAGAGTTATTTATTAAAATTTATTCAACACACACATGCGTATTATGCGTAGCCGTAATATTAATACTCTAGGACTATAGGTACTTTATGACCGTCGCTCACCATTGCAGTATTGCCCAATATCGTTGCATTCAAC